GAACTGAAACTTAATATCACTAAAACTAAGGCGATGATCATAACAACAGAGTATAAACAAAATAAAATTGGGAGAAACACAGTCAAAATTGAAATTAACGAAACTGATGTAGAAATAGTGGGTAAAATTAAGTATCTAGGGTTCATTGTAGATAATACAATTTCATTGAATGATCATGCTGACTATATAATAATCAAAATATCAAAGAAACTGTATTTTTTTCTAGAGTGGCATCTGTATTATCAATGTATACCAAAATAACGTGCTATAATTGCATAATATTTTCTGTTATTTGGTTATAATAGACTAATTTATTTTGATTTTTATGTATTATATTCAGATAAAGTACATTAATTATGTTTATATTAGGCTTGCTATCTGGAAATAAAGTTGTTCTTCATACATGTACCAGCGACATGATTGTGCTGAGACATACTGGTGCTTATCGAAGCAGAAAGCGGAATTGTCTGTCCTGACATTATTATATGCAGTTCGGAGACATTTATTTTTTTGAAGAAAACTGATCCTGGGTTTTCGTGGCACTGAATTGAACCCGGTTACTTTAGCCCCAATACGAAATCACCTCTAGATCCTCACTAAGATATGCAACCTCTTGCTGCCGGTGAAGATGTGCATCTACAGCCGATGTCCTGGAAGTAATATGTCGGATTCTTTTTTTTTTCCAATAAGTCTTTGATATACAATAAAAAGAGGGTTGGAGACAATATGGATTCCTGGGGAACACCAGCGTTGATGATAAAAGGATTCATGAGATATCCATGGACGGCCACTTACAGGGAACGTTCTGTCAGGGAGCTGGAGAACCATACACAAAAAAGATCCATAGCATCAAAGTTTGCTCAGCAAAGCCGAATTCCACACACGGTCAAAGCTCATGACTCTCCATGTTTCTCGACTGCGTTATTCCAAATATGGGTGACATACGATAGAAGGTCGCATGTTGATCTTTGTTTCCGAAAGCCATATTGATGATCGCTCAAGATGTTCAAGGCTTCCAAATATTCAAGGACATCGTAGTTTACGCCTTTCTCCATGATTTTTGATATCACTGATGACCAAAACGACTGGTCTATAGTTGTTTAGATTGTTTAGAAGATTGTTCCCACCCTTTTTGGTAAAAGCAATCTTCCCATAAGAAGGAAAAACCTTTTCCTTGTAAGACCAGTTGACAGGCTGCAAAATACTGGTACGCTTTTTTTAAGAATACATTGAAACTTGATTAAAAGTAGATACGTAAGTTAAATAATCATTAAATATAATGAGATAGTTGATAAGAAATGCAAATTATTATTAATTATGCATTTTTCAATGAAAAAAGAACTTTATATGGCGTGTTTTTGACCGAAACTACCGGTTGAAATTAAATGAGGCTCTAACCACGCGCTCTCCGCCCTCGATCTCGAAAACGGTTCAACGTATAAAAGAAATTTTGGATACAAAAGTTGTAGAGAATGTAATCCTCTGAAATATTCATAGAAGACGGGACATCTGCAAAAACTGTGCAAAAAATCGATTTTTGTAATCTTTAACCTCAGATTTTAATAGTCGCCTACACCCCGCCATATGTAGGTTTTGAGACATTTCTCAGAATGTCAAAATATAAATGTATACGAGTTAGTAGCTGAGTATCTCTAATTCCGAGGTGAACTTACTAAGATGACTGCACTATTATATCTCCACACGTCTCGTTCTCTGTCTCACATGAGTCTATCTCTATAGTCTACCTCTCACGATGTGTGTACCAGACACATGCCACTAGTAATCGATCACTTGCTAATAGAAATTCACTTCCACTTATATCGAGGATCGTTATGTGTGTGGCATTGCATAAATTCATTTGCATTTCATTAAATTCGAACAAAGCTTTTTCTGTGGCACGACAAATCGGTTCGAAATTGCAAATTTATATTCACAGTCACGCTTCAAATCGAATTCCATTCGATACGATGCGATGTGCTCCGTCTTTCCTCTGAATTGCTATCATAATAATTTTTCGTATCGCTAAAATTGATAAAATAGCATGCCATATTATTTTATGCAAATTGGTTCAAACGAGTAGGAGATGGACAGGTACATGTGCAGGAAATTTACTGCCCCCTTTCTCCAGATAGAACCAGAAAAATTATTTGAACCGGGATTCTCCTTTTTTCAATGTGAGAATTTGGGGACATACAGGTCAAAGTGAACCTTAACATTTTGTGAGTTATCACGAAACGTATTGAAGGAAATTGCAAAAAAAAAAATTAAAATCATATTGTTTCCTAGATGTTTATGTGAAATATCTATAGCTGCACGTGAAACCAATTGCAACGGGTCGTCTTGCCAAAGCGACTGTGCGATTATCTTCCCACTGGCTCGGCGTTACGCTATTTCTCACGCCACACTGAACTCCGATACCTATAGTGTACACAATTGTGTTTACCACAGTGTGCATGACCTGTGTTTCACTGAATAAATTATTTTTAAAAATAATCAAAGATAATTTACTACAGTATACATAACCTGTGTTTTACTGATGATTGTAAACGACCAGATGGTATGTCTCTCATACCATGGAAATACAGTTAACCTGTGGTATGGGACTTCACTTGCGTTGATACGGTCGCGGCTTCTCATCTAGCCGGAAGTTCGAAATCTGCTGGCACCGCAGCACTGTCTGGTAACAACTATTCGTTCCATCCAGTAGCGGTTGAAACTTTTTGGTGTTTAGTGCCCGGAGTCTCTATTTTTCGTTCATGAACTTGAAAGGAGAATAGGCCAAGCAACGAAAGATCACTGTTTTACCTTTTTTTTTTGATAGAAAGTATCAGTATTGCTATTCAACGTGGTAATGCTGCATCGGTCCTTGGAACTATTCCTCCTTCACATAATTTTGATGACATCATGCATGGCCCTAATTTCATTACGGAACTAAAATCTCTTCGAAACAAGCCGAGATATGTGGATATTCATCAGTCTTCTATCAAGGTTAGTTCGCAAGTGATTGATCCACCTTCTTCTTTTTCAGTGTGGTCAATGGACTTAGGTCATACTTGCCCCCCAAATATGAATTGCAGTCCACGTGGTTCTGGTTCCCTTTCAGTGGAAGAGCTTCATTAAGCAAGAGCCTAATCGATCCCTCTACGTAACCCTTCATCATTTGGAAGGATCGATCGCAACTTGAGAAATGGTTCTTATACAGATTATGTGAAACATGTTCTTCCTTTTCGAATCAGTAGAGTTGTCCCGAAAACCTTGAGAAGAAAACTGGATTCGATAATTTAGGAAACACATGCTACATTAATAACATTTTATAAGTGTTGTTCACGACGAAGAATTTCAAGAACGATGTTTAAATGATGAACGAGAACGAACATGTTTCCTACTTATTCACCAAACTCAAACATCTATTCATGCAGCTGCAGTTTCGTGAAAATATACCATCTTTCCCTCCAACCGATTTCCTGGAGTCTTTGAAGTCCACTAGATACTCATTAGGACAACAAGAGGATTGTTTCGAATTTTTTGGGTTCTTGTTGAATATTCTTCGTGAGCAAAAAACAGATCTCGTCTTGTGTTTGTAAATCTTTTGCTGGAAAAATCTACACTTGTTTACTTTGTAGTAAATGTTCAAGAGGTTCAATTACACTGACGTCCGTGCCAAAGCGAAGCTCGAATATCGATCACTGAATAAGAAACTGTGAATTACATCCATCCATCAAAAAAAGTAACCCAAACAAAGCTAGATGCGTGATCAAAGGATTATCACCACGCACATTTGCATCTATTGTGTGAAATAAACAAACCTTCTCACGCTGGCCAATCAGTTTCAACTGCAATCGGCTGGCGGAATTCATTGTTACAGTGTAGAAGTGGTCAGTTACGTTTTAACACCTGTGGTGTGTACATATACGTAGTTTTCGAGTTTGAAATTTTTAAAATGTCAAGTACTGACACGACTGAAGCAACTGCTGAAAAAATTCCTATACCCGCATATTATTGAAAAAAATCGGTCGTTCCTGAAGGATCACGTGCACTCTGCATGATGATGTTTTGGATCACTCTGTTGCACAGATGGACACTGTTGAGATACATTTTTTCCTTGTAGGAACAGAAATGTCAGATTTAAGAGCGTTGAAAAATATATTGTGGACCAACATATACAGTGTTGGGAGAGTTATTGAAAACTGAAAAAAATATCCAGTACAGAAGAATTTTATGTCTTAATTTGTTTTTTCACACATTATATCAAGATATTGCTTTTTTGACTTAAAACAACACCGCAGTCACACCTCAGCAACCGTTTTTAACATATTTGCCTTCCTGTGACTTTTTCCTGTTTCCAAGATTGAGGAGGCCCATGAAATTGAAGACCCGAAGGGCAAGGAGGAGTCCCAAGGGGGGACACGCTTTTTGAATCTCTCCGATACTTATTCCATCCTTCTCTGCATAGATTACATTACACGTTTCTCTCTCCCACTCACCAAAGTCCCTCTCTGAAACACTAACCAACGACACGCGACCTTGAAATGGCCCAGAAATCACTTTGTTCCCCTACTGATTTGAATTTCCCGCTGTACGCGCGGAAGCTTCCGATTGGTCGACTGAAAGACGGTAAAGATGGAGGAGTGGGGGTGGTTTGAAGTGGGCTCTGAGAGTCTAAGGCCCAACTCACACAGAATGGACGTATAGCAGAGATGAGGCGCGGACTCTTGTCCCTTTCAGTCTGTCTGAATTGGACATGAGGTCGTAAAATCACCAGAATGGACCTGGCTCATTCCATAAGGAATGAGCCAGAACTTTGCAGATATATTACTAAAGACCAATGAAAGGATGACGTTTTGCGACGATTGAGGAAATAAAAACCGAATTGCTGAGAGAGCTGAAGGACATACCAAAAATGCACATCAGAACTGCTTCAAGAATTGGAAAAACGCTGGCACAAGTGTAATCAACAAATAAATATTTTTGGATGTTTATTGAATATTATTTTATACCTGAGAAAGTAATCGTTAACAAAGTCCGGATGTTCGTCCATCCATGATTCCATCTGAGCGTACTCCGGGTCGTAGAAATGTCCATGACTGTTGTGGTTATGCCTAGGGAGCCTATTTGCTGACTCCGATCCTGAATTGGCGCCATCAACTGTCATTCGAGTCTCGTCGCCACTGTTGCGTAATTGCAAGCCTGAAAAGAAGGAAAAATATTATATTAATGGTTTCAATGTTTTTATGCTTTGTGATATTTGGCTTTTCTGAAAGGTATTTGGCTTTTCGAAAGAGATATACGAGTATATGAATTATGTATCACTGCGGGTTGAGAGGAGACAGTACGAAGTCGGATGAATTAATCATTTTCTGAATACACGTGCATGTGGAGAAAATTCTGCAGTATCATCATTATTAATGATTATACAGGGTGTCCCTGGACTTCCTCTTTTCCTCTCGGGAATGTATAGATGGGGTCAAAATATCACCAGTACTTCATATAACTTTTTTTCCTAAAAGTCTTCGTAACCAAGTTACGGGCCCTCGAAGTTACAAAATGAAAAATGTTTTTCTTTGATAACTTTTCAAGTGAATATTCAAAATCATCCAAATTTTGGTAATTGACTAAACAAATGAATTCC